AACAACAAATCTTGGTTCCTAGAAGGACAACTTGTGAGAAATGGGGCAATGTGCAATCAAAGCAGAGAGATGGGAACCAATAGGCTTGGTGTCAAAACAAGAATCCTGCTGCTATCCTCAGGGAAGGGCCCTTCATTTCATATATCCCTGTTTTCTCTCGCTCTGTCAAAATCTGAATTGATGAAAAGCAGCTGAGAGTCCTTGCCACCACAGCAGTTTTTCATAACTCTGCGAGATTCAGCCCAATGTGAAGAAATTATTTTTCTTCCAGCTTCAGGCAGTTTGAAGCTTGAATATAAAAGAAAAGGCAGCAAGTCTAACAGGGGAAAAGAAATGTGTATTTGTATGGCTTGATAGCTCCTAATTAGTTTTATAATATTTACACAATGCCCAAAAGCATTGACAGATTCCTTTATGTAAATATAAATGGATGCATAAATTAAATATTCCCTCTGAAATAAAAGCAACATATTCAAACTGAAAAGAAATGTTCCCATCTAGACGGCTGCCTGATTGAAAACTAAGGGTTCATTTTAAAGTGTAGATTTGCTGGCTGAAGTTTTGGAAGCAGCACCATTATCTTCCAGTCAACTGGTTTTATAATTAATAGCTCTACAGCATAAAATGGTTAGCTTGCTAATCAAGTGCTTCATAGAAGCGCAGACTTTGCGCTAACATGCATCCAGGACATGTGTACACTTGCACATAAAATTTTAATGCCCAGTGCTAATGTAAGAAACAGTGTTTTCAGCATAGATTGAAGCCTGTGCATGCGCTCCAGAGCAGCAAGCAGCGTGGTTTTGCTGCCACCAAGTGCCACCAAGTGGCATCCGACACACTGCTGAATTTTAAATAACTCCCAAGAATGGTAAAATAACAGTATTTCAGAGCTGTACTAAAGATTTTGTACCTCCTTAACACCATACTGACAAATGTCTGCAGTCTCCAGCTGATAAATTATGTATGTGAAGATCAATGGGACAGATTTAACTGCAAACACTCTCAGGATTTCTGGCAACCTTCAGTCACCATAACATGGAAAAACCTTTTTGCATTCTCTTCGGATACAGAACCATGGACGTTTAAAATCCCAGATTATATCAGATGACTGGCAGTCCTACTGGTAGCAAAAGGGGCCTGGGGTCCTTTCAAAATGATAGCGAGAATGGGGCTCTAAGGAGCCTAGCCCTTCTGATGACACAGATTTTTCAATACCTACAAGCTGATAGAAAATCATTAAAAATGCCTATGAGCTGCTAGTGAAAAGTTAATTTATGGTCCAACGGTTTAGCCATAGGGAGCATGCTCTACTTCAGACTTTTCTGGCTTCTCTGCAGCGTTTTTTCTGGCATTCTACAGCAAAGTTTATCAAAGCTTCTGTCTTTACACCCAGTTCCAACTGACTGAAAAAAATGCAGCTCACTGAGACATGTTGGCTTTCTTCTTAGCCTGGAAAGGTTGCTTAAATCACTGTTCCCATTTTTCAGAATAGTTTCAAGGAATGAGCCAATTTTATGCTTTTTACAACATTTATTTCTCAGATAAGACTAAATATATTTTAAGCTTTTAAAGGGAAAGAGTAAAAATTTTTGCCTTCATTCACAAAGCTGTTTTCGATACAGATTCTTGAAATATGAAGCTTATTTGCTAGTGCTTTTTTTTACCAGGGCGCTCTTAAGGAAAACAAAAAAATAAATAAAAGTGGAGATGCAGACAACACCCCCCTCTAGGGGCAAAAACAGAATTTGCAACATTAGATTCATCTGTGTATCAGTTGTAAAATTAAATAAATAAGGCCTACCAAATCAAAGACAAACAGAATTATTAAGTTGTTCCCTGCAGAGAGTGCTGCTGCCTATGATATCTGTCTAAAGAGCATGTTGTGTTCCTAGATCCATGAAGAAGGGATTTAATAGTACATGTACCTAGAAGCTCATTCATCAGATTTCCCTAGCAAAATATATCCCATTAACTTCTGACCTAGACAATGTCTCACCCGATGCAATATGCAAAGAATAAATTTTTCTTTCAAAGTAAACACATGTATCATGCAAACGTATGTACTGACAAGTGCTAAAGCTGGAAGTTTGCTCAGCTGATCATACTTGGTATATTTGGAAGTCAAATAAGATGGAAGGTCAGCATTGGCTTGGCTGCTTTCCTCCTCTTCATTCAGGCAGCCAGATGCAAGGTTGCAAAAGCAATTCAGGCATCTTCGTCAATGACAGAGGGTCCAATCCTCCCGGCACAGATTACTCCTACGTACAGTCTGGGAAGCTTGCAATTCCTCCTTGGAAATGAGGGGAATGCAGAGCTAACAGAGGGTTGTCTCCCCATCCCCAGATCTTGAGAACTCAGTAAGCCTGTTGGGAGCTACAGGAGATGGGGCTGAAGACCCAGGTAAGACCTAGTACCTTCAACCAGCGCACCACTGCTGAGACAAGCAGCTCTCCCCTCAAAAAGCCAGTGCTGCCTACCTTCTCACAAAGAGCTATCCTAGGCAGCACTGTTGAGCTGTTACTTTCACTGGTAACATGCAAAGTCAGCTGAAAGGACTGGCTGCATGTCACAGCCACCCCTGCATAGGTCAGGATGGGATCCTCAAGCCACCTCGCAGCAGAGTGTCACTCATGCTGCTGAAACACCCATCACAAAAAACTGCTATCCCTAAAGTGGCACAGCTCCATGCACGTTACAAGAGCAGCCCCCTGACTTGTGTTTAAACAGAATAGCACAGACACTCTTTTATTTTTAAAGTTATTACTTGCAATAGTAGAAGGCAAGCTCTTTAAAAAGCTTTGCGCTACATTTCTTATCACATACACCATGGCTAGTGGGAATTTATCTTTGCACACATGCACGTTCACACACAATACTCTAACAAAACAAAAAAAAGGAAGCTATGCTGCATGTTTTTTTTAGGTTGCAAAAGCATTCCTTGCCTTTCTGTAGCCTACGAAAACATCAATCCCAAAGAGCATTTCCCTTGTGAAAACGAGGGGAAGAGGAACTGAGTGGGATGATGAGAAAGTCTGTGTCAAACCCAAATTATTCTCCAGCTCCATATGCTGAGCAGGGCAATGTCTTTTCCTCAATATACCTACAGCCTGTGGCACCTAAAGTGACAATACTCTGCCGTAGTCACAAGAGAGGCCCTTCCACAGCATAACTCAGATTCAGCAGCAAGCACATCCAGGTCTTGCTTGCTAGGTCTTGCTGTGCTGCCTGGGGTGGCTCAGCTCACTGCCTCATGAATCAGTGCTTCACAGCACTTCTTTAACGCTGCAAAACCCAGTGCTTGTGCAGAAATAACATGCCAGCTGCAAATCCACCACGCAACATAATGTTTTGCTCCAGGCTGACTGCAAGCCTGACCTGGACTTTACTTACTTTATCTGGACTTTACTTACTTTATCTGGACTTTACTGGGTAATTTACACAGATAAAAGGGAACTGCCTCTGCAGCAGTCTCTGAAGTAGTACTGGTATAGTTGAAACAGCAGTGAGACTGGTTTTAAGGTCAGCATTACAAATATTTTTGTGAAAATAAGTTTCTCGCATAGTTATTCTGACTTGTATTCATTTATGCATGTGTGAATCCCCTTGCATTATTTTAGTTTATTGTTGCAGAGATCACTAAATTGAGGCTAGTAAGAACAGGAATATACACAGTACATGAGAAAACTAAGGGTTGGGTTTTTTTCCCCTTCTTTTAGATATGAGTTCTGTCACTTCCAAGTGTTTTTAGTGCTGGTGCACTTACAACTATGACAGTTGAACACTGTAAGGACTTACATAAGGATGCCTTACCTCTCTTAAATCTGTTTTCCTTTCAGGAAAAGGGATTTAAGGATAAGGCCTAACTCCTGAAGTTAAATCTGGGAAGCTCTAGGTGCCTGTGTATGAAAGCATAATACCCTTGAGCCCCAACAGGTCTTAACCACTGCTCCCCAGGAGTGAGCTCAGGGATCACCTCCCCAGTGTGCTGCACTGGGTGGCTTTTGGCTCTGCTCCACAGAACACCGGCATCAGTGGGAACTCAGCTCCCTTCTCCCCTTGTTGGGAGCTGCCTGCTGACATGCCAGGCATCTCAGCACCTCAGCATCTCCTCTGGGATGGAGTTTCAGTCCTCTGCTAGGTTTCAGGCACCACTCTGGCCTTGTATGTGAAAAGCTCAGAATTACATTTTGTTTCTCGGTAGGTTTTTCTTTTCATCTCTTTTTCACATGTTATCCGTGTGACTACGCTCTTGGAGAAAACCCTATTGAAGGTAGACAGCAGCCTTAATTACTACGGGCTAATTACATGAATGAGCAAATTGCCATATACCAATGTGGGATTTGGCCTGAGAAGTAGTTCAGGCAATCCTCTAACATCACTGATATTATATCTTATATCGAGGTTATACAATGATGAAGCTTGACAGTATCCTCTAGACAGATGAGGAGCATGACTCTGAAGATCTGAGACATCAATTTGCTTCTCTGCCAATATAATGTGCCAGCTTTGTTTTCAGGAAAGAAGCTTCACAGTGCTCCTAGCTTATTTCATTTATCCCTGTGATGATTTGCCTTTTATCAGTATTAGGGAAATTGAAAATATAGTAATAAAAACTCCAAGTGTTCAAGATGTACTGCCCCAAACAAGATAGTTCCTGGTCTTGGAGATGGTTCTCCTGTAATCAGCACTGCAGCTGCAAATACAAACAGCAAGAGAGAACAGATCTTCATAAAAAACTGGACTGTGTCATCAAATCTGTTGAGAATATGCCTTCGATTTAATCAAAGGAAATATTTAAGCACTAGCAGTATTCAGAAGCTACAAATTAATTGGTACTTGTAGGCAGTGATTATGTTTTCCATTTTTCTTGATATTCACATAAATATGTGTGAGAGATTGGCTGCCTGGCTCTACTAGGAGTGGGGGAAGTGACACTCTCCACAAGCATTTGCAAAGTTAGTTGGGAATCAGCATCAGAAGAGATCGATTGTGGTTATTACCTCATAGTGTAGAGCAGAGTGCCATCATCCTCCAGGCGCAGAAGTTTGTTTGGGGTTGTCATGTTGTGAGCAATAGACTTCTTGCCATTGTGGAAAAAAGTGTCTGGGGTCCAAATCTTGCTGGCAAGCAGGTTGTTGAGAGGGAGGCGTTGCATAGGTCCTTTGAATCGCAGCCTTTCATCTTTCCAGCTTTGTCGGAAGAAAACATCAATGGTGTATTCCTGGCACAAAGAAACACTAGAAGTATTGCAGGATCTGAATAGGAGCAGTGGTTCCAAAAACAACTTTAGCAAAGCAGATAAAGGAGATCTGGCAACCACACTCGCAAACTTACCATTTCGGTGTCTGACACAGGACCAAAACTGGTAACATAGATGTCTGTTTTCACCTGAGTTATTCTCTCTGTAATAAATATAGGCTCTGCATTAGGAATTGCTTTAAGATGCAAATATGTGCTTGAGATGCACTTCTCTATTAACTCTGGATCATTCAAAAATTCCCAAAAGCTTGAAATTAAAGATGTTTGAGGAGGAATTTAATCCCTGATTAAATGCAGTGATCGACCTTTGGGAGCCCAGGCTCTCTTCTTATAATTAGTGGAAAGAAGCAGGCCCATAAAGGGTGCCATTCCTCTGGCTGGCAGGTTTTGAACACAGAATCACAGAGTGGTTTGGGTTGGCAGGATCATCTTGTTTCAACCTCCCTGCCATGGCCAGGGACACCTTCCACCAGACCAGGTTGCTCCAAGCCCCATCCAACCTGGCTTTGAACACTGCCAGGGATGAGACAGCCACAGCTTCTCAGGTAACCTGTGCCAGTTCCTCACCAACCTCACAGTAAAGAACTTCTTCCTTACATCTCATTTAAATCTACCCTCTTTCAGTTTAAAACCATTACCCCTTGTCCTATCACCATGCCTCCATGAAGAGTCCCTTTCCATCTTTCTTATAGGTCCCCTTTAGGTACTGGAAAGCTGCTATAAGGTCTCCCTGGAGCCTTATCCAGGCTGAACAAGCCCAACTCCACCAGTCTGCCTTCACAGGAGAGGTGCTCCACCTTCTGATCATCTTTATGGCCCTCCTCTGGACTCACTCTAACAGGTCTATGTCCCTCTTGTGTTGGAGGCCCCAGAGCTGAACACAGTATTCATTCATAAGACCAAGAAGGGGAGAATCACCTCCTTCAACCTGCTGGCTACGCTTCTTTTGATGCAGCCCAGGATGTGCTTGGCTTTCTGGGCTGTCAGCTCATATTACTGGCATATATTCATTACCTACTATAGGATGAGATGAAGAGTATCTCGGAAGGACCTATTTCCCTCCACTGGCTTGGGTGATCTGCCCAACTTCATCCATCTATATTATAGATGTCCAAAGTTAGGTGAAATTAATTCAATCCACAAAACTCTAAGTCTTTCTGGCATCTTTTCAAATCCAGGACTAATTTAATTTAAGGGCAGAAATTTCAGAAGTTCGTTACATAAGATAGGAGCATGGAGCCCTATTTTCAAGCATCTCTGTGTAAAGTGAGAGGAGAAGGAGAGAAAGGGATGAAAGCAATGTGTTGGTCTCACAAGAGGAAGGGGTGGGGGTAGCCAGATTAAAAAAGGGCCAAGAAAAAACATAACAGATGGTTTACACATGCATAGGAGATGAGAGAAATCTGGGGGATAGAGAGCTGTAAGGAGGGCTCAACAAGGTTAGCATGGCAAGCAACTATTCACATGTATGGTTTTAAAATAACTGCTTTAGAGGTTACCAAAATGACATATTAATATAGATTTCCCGTTGCTGTTTAAAAATGGATGATTTGGGGATCTGTTTTTAACTGATTTTTGCCACTGGCATTATTTTATACATGCTGACCAGTGCAGGAACATTGCAGCAACCTGCTAGCACCATCTCACTCACCTGAGGGAGTACCAAAAAGAAAAGAAACCCAAACTGTATTCAATTACAGAAAAATGCATCACACATGCTCTCCTAATGCAACATCAGATGACCTCAATGACTGAAAGAGGACAACTTTCAGTGACCTTTGTATTGCATCCCATTTGCCAGGAGACAAATCTACTTTCTGGGCTTCGTTTAGCTAACAAAATACAACTCCCTTTTCAAGGCCCATGCTGAGAGCAGGTACCCATGTGGAAGGGCATCATGTAGACAATAGTCCTGCATGGTGGAGGCCTGGCCACAGTGAACGCGCTATCCTACCTCCCAGTCCCGGGCGCAGACGGTTGTCATAGCCGTCCAGCAGACCATCCAAGATCCTGGTGAATATGGTGATGTTATCATTGGCGTCCTCTTTTCCCGATGCTGTTGGTGTTTGTGAGAAGCTATTTTATGCAAATGAAGAAAAGAAAAACCAAGTCAAAAGCTGTGCCAGCCTCAAGGGGCTTCAGTCTCAAGGGAACTTTGTGATGGAGCCTCTGCCCCCTCTTGCCGCCCCAGCTGAGCGGTATGTGGAGCTGCAGTGATTTTATCACAGCTATAAGCAATCATAAATAGCTCTCCCTGGAGGAGGAGGACCTAAGGATGGGCCCACACCATGGAGGTAAAGGCCTGGGGCACTGGATCGGAGTACACCTAAGCCCACTGGCCATCTTGTTGTAGGGCACAGGGAGACCCCAATCCCTTGTGCTGCTCTGCCCCACTTCAGTCTCACCACTTCCCAAGTGCTAGCATGTCTTCATTCCCTGAAAGGAGTAAGGTCAGCTCACAGCACCAGTAAAAGCTGTGACTGGTTTTTCCACTGGGTTAGCTCTCCAGTCTTTGGGAACTGCATCAGCAGGCAGGGGATCTGCACGAGCAGCACTGGCTTGCTTGGGGACACTGCTTCAAGTGTGCCTGAAGGTAGCCTTTAATCCTTACATGCCAAACAGCTTCTAATTTCCAGTTTATTTAATTTATTTGAGGATAACAACTCCCACTGCATTAAAAAATCCCAGCCCAGATCACTGGGGTATCTGAAAAAACATGTAACTGCAGTACAGAAAACACAGTTCTTCATTCTTCCTCTCTCTTTTGCCTAAATTAGTCCTCCCTTGTAGTATGAAAATAACAGCAATGTATAGTGGTCCTCATTCCATATCTTTTAGGCCAAATTTGTTTTATTGTGAACTTTATTTCAACATTTTATACATGGCTTAGACATAGTAAGCTGCTCACAGCTCAAGAGTACAACTATAATTTATATTTTTAAGTCCATTTGATTTTCATTTAAAGATGCTTAGGAGAATCCTCTGCCTAGTGATGCCTTTGCCCACCAAAAGAACATAGGCTTAAGTTTATCCATAAGCATGCTTCACCTGCAGCTAGCAACAACCATCTCTCAGGATAGCAAGTCTGCTCACACTCGGCGCTTATTCAAGTTTCAGTCTCTGCTGAAGCAGGCAACAAATGCTCCAGCTGTGACAGAGCACGTCATCCCACTAGGAACCGTACCCTGCCTCATGCACCCTGCCAGCAGAGAGGAATCACACTCCAACAACTGGCACTCAACATGAACTAGTCACCCAGAGAGAAAAAAAAAACTTAAAAATCCATGTTTATTTACTAACAGTCCCCAGAGAAATAAATCAGTAAATAGAGAACCTCAAAGCATCCCTCTGAACAGCTTTCCTTGCACAATGCTTGTAACACATGCGTTCGGCTTACCTAGCAGAACACGCTTTATACAGAGAAAGGCAAGTGACCTCAACCTGGTTTAACCTGCTCAAGGTTTACAGTAACGGGACCTCACTGACACCCATGAGACGGGTCTGGAAATTTTAGTGACTCAAGACCTGTCTCAGGATGAGCTCCTGGTGGGCACATTGAAGACATGGGGACCCCCAGTCCTGCACCTGTTCCATTTACAGCTTGTGTGTTTCTGCTAGAAAAGGAAAGGATCACAAAGCCTCTCAGAGGAATAAAGGCTGGGCAGTGGCAACATGGGCCCAATTATAAGGAATGCCAAAGCACGTGAAAACGCCTGGCAGAGGAGGCTCCTCACAACCCGAGTGCCATCAGGACTGCTGTGACCCTCAAAAAGCTCAAGACTGGAGAGCCCAGGCCACCAAGGAGCTCCCCTTTGCTGCAGGTGGAGACATAGCCACAAATCTCACCCACTCTTCAGGCCATCAGGTCAAAAGACCAAATTTGTTCTGTTTTCTATGCTGTGAGCAGAACCTTTAGTGAGTAACTGAGGCAGCCAACATCACAGACATGTTTGACTATAATGAAAGATATTATTCCAGCAGATGCAACCTGGTTACAGAAACATTAGACATCCTTACACACCAGACCATTCAAGACAAAAGACTGTATATTTTTCTGTCAATCATAATCAAAGGGATTCACGACATGAAGGTGAATATTTACAAGTACCAGCCTAATGAATACAAATGGCAGACACAAGTTACAGAGGTGCTTCATATGCAGTGACCATAACTAACTCTTTGGTAAAATCCTAGAATACTATTTTAAACTTTCCTCATTTATTTTAGCTTCTTTCTTTTTTTTTTTTTTTTATTCTTTCATAAGAAAGAGATAAGCATCATGCTGTCTGCCTGCTTCACCCTATCAATTGAGGAACCCGTTCTCATTTTCCAATGTATCTGACAAAGAAGCAGAGAGATCAAACTTCATTTCATTCCTACAAGTTTCATGAGAAGCAGTGACTAGACAAGGGGAGAGCAATCTAAATTAGTGCCTCATTAAGTAAAAATGTGAGGTCAGCAGTCATCTATTCCCTCTGGCTCACTGACTGGGCCAGTCAGCACGCATGTAGCTCAGAAACAGCCTCAGCAAAACCAGCCCACCTCCTCTCTGCTAATTAAGAGATATGGAGGAGACTTGCAGGGTGATTAGGAAGGGTCCTGGGAGAAAAGGACCACAGAGGTAAAATGCAGGTGTTGCAATGGGAGATGGGAACAAGGGATGCCAAATGCAGAGCCAGGATTATTGCAAAGGTACAGTGCTGGGGGCACAAAGCTTCACTAGTTTCTCTGCTCTTGAAAAAGCTTGTTATTTTTAGTGCTTATGGCTGAATTCAAAGCCAGTTGAACTCAGAGGGAAGATTTCCATTGAACTATTTTTGTGGGGATGGGACAAAATATACTTAGTTCTCACAACTGCTCCTCTGAATCTAACAGTAGTAATCAATGCTGCTTCTTTCTATCTATCTCAGCTATATATATTTTTCACAAGAATAGTATGCACATCTCAAATACTGAAATACTTTTATATCTCCACAAGAAAAGCTAATTAATACAGGAAAAAGGCAGAGAAACAACTAGGGTGAAGACTCATAAAAAGAGTCTGCAGCAAAACTGCAATCCAATTTATATTTGGCAGACCGCTTCACCCGAAAAAGATAGCATCTGATGCTGAATTTCGATGAAATGTCAGTATTACGTGAAGTTGCATTTGTAAATGGGTTCCTGTTTGCTATTAATGCAAATGTTACTTTCTCTTTCACAGAAAAGTTGACGTTTAATTTCTATTTTTGAGATTGCTAGCAAAATGCTTGTTTTGGAGTAAGTGCTGAGGTTGTCTTTTATGACGTAAGACCTTTAAACTGTCCCTGCAAGCTTACACGCATATATTAGATACTATAGCTCTAAGAACATAAAGAAAATGTGTGATATCCTAAACTAATTATTGCCACACAGCTAAAGATTAGGTTTTATCAACATATTAGTAGGTAAGCATGTTATTGCCTCTCTGCAACCAAAGATGTTTTCCTTGCAGACATCTTCAGTTATGAATAAAAATAAACCTAGAAAAGCACCTTAGGAAAATGAGAAAATTCAAAGATAATTGCATTTAAAGCTCATTAGTGAACATAAACTAAACCAACCAGGAGTACTTCTCATCACACTTACTTAATATTGCAATTTCAGGGTGACTGAAAAAATCAGAAGCCACAGAAGGGGCCCATCAGTGTTAAATGTAATAACTCTTGGAAGACGTTCAGCTATCTTTTCTGACGAGTTAATTGTTTACCATTTTAAACATCACTGTCCTTTTTTGCCATCTAGTCAAAATCATGACATGTACAACTCATAGCTTAGCTGTAATAAAAGGAAAATGTACAGCAGATATTACATTTTTCCAAAAAACTCATTTTTAAAAAAAGCAAGAGACACTGTAAGGAGTATTTCACTATTGGAAGTGGTATTTTTCTCTCTCACTGTCTTAAAAGCAGAGTTTCCAATAACTTGCTTTAATAGGATTGGAATTATACCAGAACTTCAGACAAATTAACAGTTTGTGGAAAAGGCAGCGGAGAATGCACTTGCACACTTTTGGATACTGCCAGCTGGCCAGACATCAAAGGAAATAGATTTACTTTTCTAAGTTAGCTTCTTGCCATCCCTTTCTTACAGATTCTTGAGATCTAAAACAGCTGGTATTTTGTGAATTTGTGCAATGAAGATTCAATTCTTTCACACTGGATTAGGACAGAGGAGAGGACTGAGTGAAATGATGAGAATGTAATGGTCTTTGCAGATCCTTAAAGAATAATGTAATTCTTTTATTTAGCAAGAGCAGTATTTTACTACCCACAAGTAATTTGTGAGCAGTGTAATGAAAACCTGTTCTTCACAGAGCTATGTCTTATCATCCTCCTTGCACCTTAACACCTCTTTCAATATCCTGAATTTCTCCCAGGGTCATTAAACACCTTCCAGTACTCTCAGCTCGCCAGGTCACTGACCTGCAGCTTCTCTGACAGGCAGTGTGTGTGCCAGGGCTGGTCCTGCACCAAGCACGTGCTGGATGGCCTGCAGGTACACACCTGCATTTTGGCCAGGTGGGAGGCCAAGTGAAACAGAGATGCTGAAGCTGTCGCTTTCTGTTTGGCAGAAGGATTGACTGACTGACGCCTGTCTGCCTCCTCCAAGCACTTCCATGTACCCACTTAGTCTTCCAGTTATTAAAATCATCTGATGGGCTCAAAAACTAGCTGGAGACATGAAGAAGGAAAGAAAACAGGATAAAAAAATAAACAGACAAGCATGACTGCACAATGAGGTGATAATTCCTACAAAACTATGTTAAAAATATGAGGAAGACCTCCCTAGCACCTGCTAGGAATGACAGGGAAAGGGATAACCCAGCAGAACTAACTGCTTAGGGTTGCAGAGACTAACTTGAAACAACAGCCTGAAGGAAAGGTTATGTTCAGCCTAAACAGCAGGATTATGGTGTTAGTGATAAGGGCTGTGAGGTAGTGGAAAAGCATGTGAAACTACAGACACACCACAGACTGAATTCTTACAGTGTACAGAGAACTCTTGAATTGGCTACATTTAATTGGGATCTTCTGTTTTCCATGTTTCTACTATTATAAACATTATTAGCAGATGACAGCTAAACTGTGGGTACATGAGCTACATCCATTCCGCTTGGTTTTGGCTCTCAAGAAAGATTTCTGAAGTTGTGCATCCAAAACGCAAATGCACAGGGACTGCGCATCACCAATGTGTCCCCAGAGAGGTGCCTTTGGGCAGTCTGGGGCTTGCAAAAAGAGTCGGGATGCAGTAAGGTTAGCCAGCGTGGGGCTGGCTGCATGCTACCTAGTCTTAAGCTGATCTCAGTGCAGACAGTCACCCGTGGTGTCCACCCTTGCAGGGATCCACAAGAGCCCATGACGAATCGAACTCTTGTCTCATCTGAAAACACTCTTCACAGTTGTATTTGACTTTCACTTATTCTCTAGCTCTATTATTAATGTTTACTTTCAAGACAATTGTGAACTATCTTGAAATGCTTCAGCAAAATACCTCAACCCGTTAGAACATCATAGAACTCAAGGCTGAATTCAAGCTTGAAAAAGCCTTGACTTGCGCTGGACTTTTTCTGCAGTAGGCTCATAAAACTGCTACACCAGCAATGGTGGGTGACTTAACATCCTCTTCTTATTTCATCTATATCTTTGAATTTTAATTCAGTGATTTTTCTTTAAATAACTTCTACCGACTATGCCTACAGTCTTCCACTACTGCCTGTTGATGTGGAGAGCTATCGATAGTCATTCCACATTTATGTTAAACATTAATCACAGACATTTGCTGAGATTTCTGAAGTAGCCTAGGAGACTGAGATACATAATTCCTGTTTATTTTAGCAGGCATTGTGCATCAAAATCCCCCAATGTGGCTTTGGCTACATCAGCAAAAACTGTATTTATGTTTTAATATAAATATGGAATTACTATGGAGCATCGTAGACAAATCTCTGCCTTCAGCTATAACGTCCTACAGTATTTTTTTTTTTAATTTGTGCTCATTTGACCAATCACTTCTATCTAGCACGTTGAAAAATGCACTGCAATGCAATGGTGCAGTCCAAACATGGATAAAACTAATAAAGAAGAACCTGGTAGCAACAGCAAGTATTAGCAGCGTTAGATCCTTGCAGTTAATATACCAGCCTACATGTTAATTGTACTGCTCTGTCCTGAAGAGTCAGCCCCAAAGCACTTAGCAAATTACACTTTGAAACTGCTTCTGCCTCTGAAACAGAAGCACTGGAGCATCCCCTGTCTTTTGAGCAGGGTCAAAATTCAGCCTTAAGGCAGTGTGTGAATGGTGCAGCGAACTGGAGCTGCCTATCTCCGCAGGTCCAGCCGAAAATTACTAGATCAGAAAAGGGGTGGTGGAGGGGGAAGTTACGTGATGATCTCATTTTAGTGCACAGAAGCTTTTTAAGTAACTTGCAGAAAACAAGTGTCCTAGTTTCCCCTAACTAACTGTCCTGTTCTGATTATCTGCCAGGTTACAGGTCATGCCAATTTCTAACTGGGACTTAATTCAGTATTTGGTTTGGGGTCAAAAGGGAGAGTTAAACTCTCTTCTCTCTTTGCAGCTTCACCTTTCCTTCTGTAAGAGAAGTAACACAGTTAAAAGACCCCACATCAAACATGCCATACTCAGCTATTGCAGTGTGCTACCTTCAGCACGAATGACGATGGTCCATCAGGAAGTACTTAAGGTCATAGTTCTCAAGATTATCTCAATATGGTAATATTTTGTCAAATTGCAACCATGTCAAGACAAGTTTTAAACAGGTCCCACACTACCTATGCCCTGTTCATTTCTATCACAAAGTCCAGGGAGAGTTTTGCCTCAGACCACAGTAACAGCAGGGCTGAGATTTTCCAAGGTGGATACATCAGAGTGCAGGTCTCTGCATCCTTTGTAGTGTGCAGTCCTACAACTATTCACATAAGCCGCTGTAGTCGCAGGCTTCTGACTGCCCACATTGGACACTCACTGGCGACAGGGCTAAGTTTTGCTTCTGACATACACAGTCATCACTCAAAGTCTGGTCTTTCTCTTAGTTTCAATCTAGAGAAAAAAATCACTTTGCTTGAAAACCAGAAACTGATTTGCATCTCCATTTTGTTTCTTCTTATAGCAAGGAATTGATGGGTGTGCTTGTGAATCAGCACGTTGGGAGGATTCATTTTTTTCTGGTGAAATCATAAATGATTGTTCTCCTCCACAAAGAAGAATCAACCTACGTTTCCAGAGCACTTTCAAAATGCCTTTTCTAGATTCCGCTGCATAGCATGATTTTGGAAAGTTAAGATCTCTGGGTTTAAGAAAAACACATAAATAGGGTGTTTCTGATTGTCTGGTTGTTTTGGTTTTTTTTTTCCTAAGAGCTATAGTAGGAGTATTTCTTCAATGCAGTTTTCACAATATCACCATCCGGAAAGCATCCAAAGTAAAAATAAGGGAACAGGATTCCTTGCTATATGCGTTAGGGAAACACAATTGCTAATCATTCCAGCAAGTTTCAAACTCAGCCATCCCTCTGAGCAGTCACGATCTTAGCTTACTCACTAGAAAGCCTGCACCAGCCAGCAGCCTGCTCTGAGTCCTGCTGTTGCAGCCTTGCACTACAGCCTATACCCTGTAACCTGGCAGGTGAGAGGGAAGGTCCAAGCTCTCCTCATCGCACCACAGCCCCCTGGCTGTGCAACACCACAGGTCAGAGCATTCAGCAGTGCAGGCCTGGTTGTCTGAGCTCCCCGCGCACCCCTCTCTCCCCAAGCCTTCTCATAACAGCATTACGGGCATAAAGAACCGATCCGAGACAGTAAATCTGAGTAGGAAAACAAATTGCTCCCTTCCCCCTGACACCAGCACATTAAGATGAAATGCAAAGCCCGCTTGTTTTGTTCAGCACCAGGAGCCAAGGTTTTTCATCTCCTTAAAAAAGCCCACAGCAAAAATTCAAACGCAACTGGCAACTCACCCGAAGTGGCTGGCTAAACTCATGGAAATGCAGAAGAGGAAGAAGTTTTTGATCATGATAAAACCAGAGACACTCCCATTGTCCATTCCAGAGGAGAGGAGGAACGCAGGTGGTTGCTTTGGTGAAGGTGCAGCTGCTCACTTTGTTCATACGCTGCAACAATATTAAAAAAGATAAATGATTGCACGGACAAAGAGCAGGATGGCCGAGTTCAGCTAACACCGCATCTTCTGCTGTGTTTTTCACAAACTTATCTAGGCTTATGTAAACATCAGCTGTTTATGTAAAATTGTATATCTTCAAGGACGTGTTTTACCTTCTGCTGACAGAAAAGTGCAAGCCAGGAAAAATTCTTGGTGGCCCAGTTTTCCCTTATATTCGTCCGTGATACAAGCAACTAATGAAACAAGTCACCATTTCTCAAATGCCAGTTTCGACCCTTTACCTATTTCAACAACTTCCAGACGCCTGCAAACCCAGGCTGTGTGCAGCCTCCGCATCCTTTCCTTCCATCACAATTTTTTTCCCATTAAATACCCTGCTTCCCTTTCCAAAATCCCAGTTGAAATGCCAAGAAACACCTACTGCTTCTTGGAATTCATGCTGCTGATGCACGGCTTAGCAAAAGAGAGGGTGGGATGGGGAAGGGGTGGGGGGAGTGAAAAGTGACCTTCCTCGCAAAGGCACATAAACCTCACGCTAGCAGGAAGAATGACAGTCATATAGCTGCTCCAGCGACTGCCGCTTTTTGGATACCTGCCTTAGCCATCAGTCCACCAATTTCAGCACTGTGCACAAATGTTTTCTCCTGTGCACTCAAAAAAAAAAAAAACAAACCAAAAACCACAACCCAAACAAAACCAAAAAAATCCAAACAAACCAAACCCCAAACAAATAAAAATAATAATTAAAAAAACAAACAAACAAAAATATCACAAACCCCCAAAGCAAAACCCCAAAACAGACCCAGAGGGAAGCTGCTTGCCTTTCCCACCTGAACCTTATGCCCTCGCGATACACCGCTCCGCAACTTACTCTCCCTTCCGCGCCGGCGCAACGAGGCAAATATCCCAAACCAAAAGCCTCCCGCCGGGGCTGCGCCCGTCCGGTCCGGCCCGGTCCGGTCCGGTCCAGTCCCGTTCGCTCCGCACCGCTCCGCACCGCGCACTGCGGGGCTGCCGCTCCTTCCCGCACACGCGCAGCCCCGGCCCGCCCGCACCTGCCCGGCCGCCGCCGCCGCCCGCTCCGCGGAGGGTGGCACCTGCTCGGCCGCGCCGCGCCCGCTCCGCTGCCCCTTCCCTTCTCCCCTTCCCTCCCATCCCCTCCCCGCACTGCCCTCGGGCTTCCCCCCCACCCGACCCCGCCAAAGTTTTCCGCAGCCATGTGCGCGGCGCCGGGCGCAGCGGCGGCCGCCTGTGGGGGCGCGGGGGGCTGCAGCCAAGGGCTCCCCGCCGCTCTCCGCCGGAGCGACGAGCGGGGCTCTTACCAGCCGCCGGCGGGGGGACGAGGGCGAGGGGGCGGTCTTTGCCCGAAAGTTGCGGAGCGGCAGCGGAGCGGGAGCGGCGGCGCTGCCTCCCCGCCGCTGCCAGGCGCGGCCCCGCCGCAGCGCCGCGCCCGCACCGCCCCCGCCAGGAGCCGGCGGCCGGGAGCGCGGCCTCGGGGACCCCCCTCCTAGGGGCCGCGCAGGAGCCCCGGGAGCGCCCGTTATCCTCGCACGGGTCTCCCGCAGCCACCGCCGCGCTCCTCAGGGGGCACCGAGAGCCCGCGGAGAGAGCCCCGGCCACCTCACGCAGCGGGTGAGGCTTGCCGGTGTATAGCTCCTTGCACACACGTAGCGTAGAAACACAGGGTAGTTTGGCTTGGAAGAGACCTTAAAGATCATACGGTTCCAACGCCCCTGCCAGAGGCAGGGACACCTTCCACTAGACCAGGTTGCTCAAAGACCCGTCCAACCTGACCTTGGACACTGCCAGGGATGGGGCAGCCGTAAATCTAAGCATCCACACAGCTACAGACCCAATGACCTGTGTCCATGTTCCTCTTCCATGGTCGGTGGAGCTGGTCTGAACCGTTCCAACCCTCATGATTAAATATCCGTGGTTTCTATCAGCATTAAAACATTTCAGGAGACCTGCAGTAACTTTGAGGTCTCCTTGCGACTGTTGGTGGTGGTATTCCAGAAAAATGGAGGCACTGCTTCACAGCCGCAGGACTGGGAGCACTATCCTCAGTACACATTCAAGCCCCAGGCATTACAGACTGCTTGCAAGTGGAGGAGGGTCGATGTGTGTTCAACTATTCAAAAGGTGAAATGCGGGTTCCTTGAGGCACATGCGTCACTTTGTGGCATGTGCATGCTACCTGTGATGAACACGATTTCAGTGTTCATAACATGTTCTTCATGGTCATACTGTTGTGACCAGGCTTCCAAATAATACTCCAACCTCCATTATTAAATTATTAGATCTAATGAGGTAGTGTCCATCTTTCAGGCAACATTATGGATCAATGAAGTATCCTTCTTTTCCCATTGTCCAAAAAAAGCTCTATGAAATGAATCCCTCCACTGAAACCAATACTGATTCTGCAGTTCATTGTGGTGGAGGGTGCTGCTGCATGCGTGCTGGGTTCATGATCTGCATGATTTGAATTGAAAACTGGGTCTTCTGAATTCAAATTTCCATTTTAATTTTTTTGGGGGGTGGGGTGGTGTAACATGTGGTGCTTAGCTACGTTCAGCTTTTCCAGCAGTGATTTATGGTCTTAAATGCAGAACCAATGACATACGTTGTTCCTTAGTGACTTCAACAAATACCAAGTTGTGAATGAATGTTGCTATCAGAGTCGCTTTCCCAGTACTTAAAAATATCTGAGCAAAGTAGTACGAAGTGCCAGTCGTTTCTCATGTTAATGTTCTTGCCTAGGAGCGTTTAAATCAGATTTATTTCTTTTACAGTGCTGTGATTTCTAGTACAAACTATTTATAGCTCTCTACAGGTGATGTAAAAAACACGTGATCTTTAAATAATTTTGCAAAATAAAATTTAAAAATAGTAAAAGAATTGAATAATTTTACAAAAACAAGCACAGAAACACCGGGACCAGCCTTTCTATGGGACTGGGTGAGCAGAACCGAGCCTCCATCCTTCTGACTTGCTCGAACTTCCTCATGAAGTCATATTCAGCATATCCACTTCGCCAAATTTAAAGTGCACTTAAGATTCGGAGAAGAGAAATAGCAAGAAAATTATAAAGAAAACTTGGGGGGGGGGGGCGTCGGGGCGGGGAGGATAAACAATAAAGGAGAAAGAACTTCGTGAAACGACTTGGTGGGGAGCCGTCGAGTTCCCCATCCAGGTGGGTGGCTACCGCAGTTCTCCTTGTAGCCGCCAGGGGGCAGCGCCGCTCCACGGAAGTGCGGTGCGGTGGGCAGCGAGCAGTGGGGTGGGAGGGCCGGTAGTTTTGGGGGTGCCGAAGAGGACCCTGTAGGTGATTTAGCGAGCAATGTGGCCGGTGAAACGGATGGGAAGCTACCGCCCGCTATGCGAATCCTTAAACGTCACTAAAATAAAGGGGCTGGGAGAAGAGGCGTCGCGGGCATTGCTGGTGGCAGCCGTACCCGCAAGGAAGCGCTTCCCGTGGCTCCCAGCAGCAGCGTCGGGCGCTTCTTTTTCCCCATAGCCTTGTCTATATGATAGCAGTGTAATACACATCCGGTGCTCTTTGCCAGCTCATTATAGCTAATAATGCAGTATATCAGAAACATGTTGTTTATTAGCTCCTGGGCAAAGGTGCATACTTGAGAGCTTGTCAGATACTAATTGCGGAGGTTTTCAGATTGGATCCCTGCAGGATGGTGGCTTTGACCTGTGACAGCAGAGTTATTACAAGCAATAGAGAGACCTTTGCTTTGAATGTAAGTATTGTCCATGTCCTGCACTGCCTGTTTTCTGAGGCACTCCCTTGGGATTCACACTTGCTGTATGTGTATCCTTAGCCCCCTTGCTGGGTTTTAAATGCCATGTTGAATTTAGTATGTGAAACAATTGCTTTTTATTGTGGTCAAGGAAATGTTTTGGTTGGTTGGTTATTCTCTGTGCTGGTGTTTAGCAAAAGCTAACATAGCCATTCCACACTGATTTTCTTTAATATTTGAAAGAAGTTTTGCGTGGTCCCTCTCTGATATTTCTCTTCTCTACTTCATTAAGTAATGTTGCTTATTTACAGAGATGAATGAATTTGAGCTAGATCGTCCTCTACATGGAACTGAAAGAATAGTACAGGCAAACTAGGCCGTGATTTTTACCATGGCATGCGTGAGTGCTTACACTCAGGAGCACACTGGGAAATGCACACCAGGCCCTAACACTGTGACACTCTGTGTTGGGAAACGGACAATTCCTCCAGCAGCCGAAGGCAAGGCATCTCTGCCATTGATCAAACCATTCCTTCTCCTTCCAGGACAGCTACAGAAAGCTCATGAAGTTGCATGGAGGTGTGACATACTGTGGGCATTGATCCAAGCATCAGGCTCTTCAGAGGCATTCTCTTCTGCCAAGACTTTTCACTAGGTGGAGAAGATTACCTGTTTTCGTTGGTCTCCTAGCTAAGACTGTGAAAGCACCTGGGACAGTGGTTTTGGTGATGCAAATCCTTTTCCAATAGAGAGCAGTCTGAATTCAGCAGTCACTGCAGGAGTCCCTGATTGTGAGCTAACATCAACTCAGCCACTCTCTCAACACACAGAATGGATATGAACAAAGGGTGAAAGACTCGTTTCCACTCCCTTTTTTCTTAGTATTTGTAGAGACCACAGTCAAAAAGTGCTGGGTCTAGCTTCGGGCTCCCCAGTGTGAGACATGGTCATAGTGGATAAGGTCCAGCAAAGGACCAGTAAGACTACTAAAGGACTGGAGCATCTGTCCATGAGGAGAGGCTGAGAGAGAGCTGGGACTGCTCAGCCTGGAGAAGAGAAGGCTCAGGGGAATCTTATCCATGTCTATAAATACCTGATGATGGAGGAAAGAGGAGGGATCCAGGCTCTGCTCAGTGCTATCCTCTGACAGGACAAGGGACAGAAACACAAACACCATGACATTCCATAAAAAAGTATGTTTTTAGTTTGAGGACAAGCAAACAGAGGAACAGGTTGCCCAGAGAGGTTGTGAGGTCCCTGTCTGTGGGTATACTCAAAACCTGAGGGGGAACAGTCCTGGGAGACCCACTAGAGCTGACCTTGCCTGAGCAGGAGGGGGGTCTGGCTGATCTCCAGAGGTGCCCTCCAGCCTCAGACCCTTGGGGTCCTGTAATCTATGAAACAGTGTCATCCTGTGAAACTGTCTCTCACTTTCCCCAAACTATTCCACAAGTGCATCTGGTAGTGAAGTCACACAAACAACCTCTTTGATGTGAGAGCTATTAGAGTCTGGTAGACTTTGAAGCATTTTGTGTATTTCTGAATGGTAAGGAGAGGTATTAAACGCCTTTTTTTTCCTCCATTCTACTATGCTGTGAACACCCACAAAACACAACCAGTGCCTTGCGTTTCAGCTGTC